GTGAGGGAGTTGACAGAACAAAGGTTTTAGACAAACTGTAATTGGTAGTCCGGGAGTCTATCATCCAACCCAAAGGGAGAGGAGTGCAATGACTTGCTGTTTTCTGCCGCCGGCGGCCCGTCGACCCGAGGCTGTAACATAGGTAGGTTAGATTTGTAATTTTGTTTGGCTGAGGGCTAACCGAGAGACCTGCCTGTAAGGAAAATTCGTGAGGGACATATCTGCAAATTTGGGAAAATATAGGCCCACACTAACTGAAATTTCCTACAGCTACCCTAAATGCAAATCGCAGGCCCGGGCTACCCCTAGGACGGACAGGCCCTAATGGCCTATGCCAATAGACGGTCCTACAGCCTATAGCCGGGTAGGGAGAGGCCGAGAGGCCGAAACTGAAACCGTACCAGTCATTCCAGGCAGTCCGGTCTAGGTCTAGGCTAGGGTAGTGTAGTTCTATAGATAGTTTGTAGGAATCAGTTCGGGGCTTTTGGCAGTTGGTACCGTGTACGTCGCTGCTGCGCAATGCATGAACTGGAATGGTGACAGTTGCAGCGTTGGAAGAGACAGACATAGTCGGACCTGCGGAGCATCGGCCATAGCTGGGACCTGCGCTGTACTCTGACAGCACGTCGGGCTGTTCAGAGCTCCGGGCTATCTGAAGTCTGCTGGAAGCGAGAGAAGTTGGTACCCTGCTGAACCCTCCTCAGGAGTAGGGTTTCAGGGTGTTAGCACTGCAGCCATAGCTGCAGCTTTCTCCCTCAGAGCTCATCTTTGTCAGGAGAGGTGGCGCTGCTACAAACTTCCACCCGGGAAGTCCTCTGGCACTTCATCATCATCAGATACTGTGGCGCTGGTCTTCTTCTTCATTCTCTGAGAGGCGCTTGGCCTCAGAGGCCTGTTTCAGGGTGGTGCTCCCCTCGGGAGTCAGTATATGGGTGGCGCTTGATGTTTCAGGGACTCAGGGGTAGTAATAGCAGTTACTCAGGGTTGGGGAGTGAAGCGCTGCTCACTTCTGAGCAGCGCACCAGGGTTCTGGGGTTATTCTGACATTTCGAGACTCTGCGTGTAATAAACAGTGTGTGTACTGTGTGTGGACTATTATTGCCTCATTGTTCCTGGATGTGATCTACTCGGCTTTCCTTTGTGACTGGTTGTGAGGATTCTGTGGAGCGAATTTCACTTTCAATGTTCTGTCATATCGTATGGTCAAGTCTTCCGCTGTGTTTATCTCTCCCTGTGCGGTGTGATACTCCCATCCTCTCCCCTTCCTTCTGTGTATGTATGGGCATACCTGGAAGTCTATCTGAGCGAGTGTTGGTCTTCTGACAACAAGCAACCAGGATCATAACAGGAGGGTTTCATATCATAGACCCAATCATACAAGTCAACGCCCTGACATTACAATGCGTGAAGAGACTGCTATTTTCTAGTTGCATCCCCAGGCGGGCCTTGGCACTGGAACAAACTAGCCAGACTTGCACCACAAGACCCCCTGACCACCAATCCTCTACATTGGCTAGACGACCTTTACTGCGCACTCCCAAGGAAATCTTCTAAAGAGGATGAATCTGATCATGGGGCAGCTAGAAGAGAGTTTGAGAGGGATGATTTCTGGATCACCCTTATGAAGACAAGGAAGAAACAGACTCTCCCTGATAAAATAGCCCCAACCAGGTGGGAATAAGTTTATCGACAATCTTTATTTGGGAATAAATGGTTCATGGACCGCCAAGTGCAGGTCTTCCATAATGCGGGTGCGCCATAAAGAGGTTGGGTGAAACATGGTCTTCTTCTGTTGGGGTACATGTGGGACCAGTCAAAACAAGGGTTGGAAAACAGCACAGCAATTGCAAGCGACTAAAGTACTGTCACAAAATTGGAGACAACTTCGACACAGTTTTTGCCTAGTCTGGATGCGGATACTAAACAAGGGCCCTACCTTGGAGGAAAGTGACTGGGTTGCCATTGAGGAAGAACCAGCAGATAGAGTGGTGAACACCATAGACAGTCGTTCTGAAGAGGTCCTACTCAATTTCTTTCGCTGTAATCTGAATGACAACAGATTAACTAGAGCAAAACCTGATGACGTGCGCTGGGTGGCCAAAGAACGTCTTTACAGAATCAGGCTGCAAGGAGGATTGGATTGCCTTCCAACAAGATACCCCTATATGGGACCTGGCCTTTGAACCGGCGGACTGGCAATAGGTGCAAGAAAGGCAACGAGGTCCGCCGAAAAGTAGGCGACTAATCTGCTTGGACGTCAAAGCCACTTACCACATGCTGCGCTCCAGAGTGAATCTCAAAGCATAGGTGCGCAGTCAATGGAAGCAGCATTTAAATTTGGAGAGGGAGACAATTTGGCCAATATGCTGGTTCCAAGGCTATAAAAGCAAACCAGCCAAGGTGGCCTCATTACAATGGTGGATTGATCCCTGCCTCCGACCCAGTGATTGACTGATTGACCATACCCACCTGGAGCAGAAATTACTCGATCTCCCCTGCTGCAAATCTTGCCTCTCCAGATTCCCCTCCAGAACATCAGAGAAACTATTGAGCACGTATTTTTGCAATGCCCGGGGACAACACTAACCTGGAGGTGCTGGATCACATCTAGAGAAAACTTTGAACGAGCGCAGACTGGCCATCGGATTGGTGGGCCCTGCTCTGTGGGGCATGGCCCCTGCCAAAAGGCCCTACCTTTACTCACAACATGTTCCACGTGGGCAGCAAAGCGATCCTTTGGGCCCTATGGTGGAAACGTTGCACATTTTGAAATGGAAGTGGCATCAATAGAAGGGGAACAATTCATGGACAACATTAAATCACCAGTACGCTGTCCAGCCATTTTTTCAGAGACACGGTGTGCATGCTGCTGCGTCTCTCAGGAAGTACTGGGGTGCTGTTTCGCTGGACATCAAAACGGGCGACCCATTGTGCCTGGAATCTGGATGGATGTGCTGTGAAACGGTAGCTTGGTACTTCCCGAGAGTCATTGCAGCATGCACACCGCGACTCTGAAAAAATGCCTGGGAAATACACTAAGCAACATATTCAAACAGAATTGACTGCCAACTGGACACTAGGGAAAGAGAAACTGGATATGCTCAGCGACACAACAGTAATACAGAAGTCACTGAGGACTTTCGCAGAGGAATGGCTGGGGGGTGAACAAGGGGGATGTATAGCATCCATTAAGTGCGAGGGGTAGCAACAGAGCAAGCTGAGACAAATCAAGAGGGACTACGTGCTGTGTTTCAACCATTGGACAAAGATTGAAGCCTCATTCCCGTTATGGCCTCCCTCAGACTTTCCAGATTCATTTCTCCCCATGCAAGTTCGCTGGTGGATTTTCAGTGGTACAGTGGGAATTGAAAAGGAAAATTCATCACAAAGCAAAGTAAGCCAATCTGTTTCTCAGTGGAATACCCAGGTACAGGAGGAACTAACTCCAATCTGGGCCTAGAAGAGCGACCATGACACACACGCGACTGGCAACAGTTGATGTTTCATATGGTACAGATCGCAAAAGAGTTCAGGAGCCGACTACATGCGAAGGAATGGTACATTCCACCAGTCCGTCCTTGAGGAATCTTGCTTTCACAGATTTATTACGACAGCAAAGCGTAGCAATAGCTGAGAGGATTCCGGGACGTATGGCAAGCTGACAGTCAATCCTCCATGTGAACGGAGCATTCAATGCTGTTCAGGGGTCCTTCGGAAGGAAGCGTTGGTGTGGGATTTATTGTTTCAAAAAAAAAAAAAAAAAAACAAAAAAAAAACTTAAAAAAAGAGTCTTAATTTCTCTTAAAGCATAAGATGTACTCAGACAGAGGGGTAGAACAGAAGGATGAACGACAGCAGTAGCGCTTAGGGTTTAAGGTGGGGATAATTGGAAACTGAGAGGGCAGGGAGAAGTTAGGTAGAGGTAAATAGAGGTAGGTTTAGGGGGTAGCATACTGGGATACCCCGCAGGGATGTCGGCCCTGCCATTGTTTCAGCCCCTTCATTTTCTAAGTGCAAACGAGCTTTTTGGGATTAAGGACAGCATGTTCTAGGGTGTACCATGTTGGGGCACTTCGCGGGGGTTTCAATTCTTCCAATTCATTTCCGCCCTTTTATTTCTTAAGTGCAACCTGGGGGTAGGATTGTCAGTTCTATGGGATCCTAAATGCAACCTAGAGGCAGGTTGGCAGGTTCTTTCGTCTACTGCTATTGGTCTTTTGTTAATCCAGTTTTCTCTTTGCTCAGGAATAGCATGTAGCTTGGCAGGAGAAAGGGACACTGGACCCGGTTTCCAGTATGAGCCTAATCTGGGTAATGGCCCCAGTCTTCCTGGTTGAGATGTGGAGATATTCCCGGCCTCCTTTTGCTCTATATATAATGAAGCATGCTATTTKTTGAAAAAAAAAAAAAAAAAAAAAAAAAAAGCACTTAACCCAAGTTAATCGAGTAAAACGAATGATAGCTGAAGTAATGCGGGGAATAAATAAAAGAAAAAATCTACCAAACCCTCAAAGCCCAGTAACCCCTAAACCATTAGTACCTACTTTTGAGTGCAGGCCAACTGAAGCAATTGCAAAGACAGCCAAGGAGGACAAAGGATACTCCAAGAAGGTGGCCCTCGCCAGGGATACGACTTCAAAGCAGGCTGCGGAAAGTCGAACAGACAGGCTGAAGAGGCGGCTGATCCACCTTCACAGAGCCAGCAGCAGTCATCAGCAGTCAACCCCTGCCTGGACACTCAATACTGCCAACTGCTTTCTATTTGTCAATAGATCTAGCCACCGGCAGTCAATCCCCTAACTAGAACAGGGCAATCAATGCTGCCATATGGGGCGGTTTCAATTAAATTGTATACGGGTTGGTGGACCCGGTTTCCAGCAGGTGACGCTCCCCACCAGTATATCTGCGCTGCCTGTGTGAAGGACTACTGCTGGGAGATGCTCGCATCACTCCTAACTGTGGAGCCCGCGGCTATTTCAAAAAAGCAAAGAAAAAGGACAAACAGCAATGGGCGCCAGATTGACAAGCGTACTTACTTGAAAAGTCCAAGCTTCTTGTAGGCTTGCCCAATATCTCCCAACAGTTGTCCATCATCAAGCCCCCTCTTCAGTGCCTCCTTCAACGCACTTTGAGCCTCGTCTTTTCTGTCTGCTGCCAGACAAACGAGTGCTAGATAACCCCATACCAGAGGATTCTCATGGTCATATATATTTGCCTCTGACAGAGCCTGCTCAGCATGTTTGAGATCCCCTAGGTTGTAGAAGGCAACTCCAGCCCCCAGCCAGGTGGAAACACCAGGATCCGCCCTGCACGCCTGAAGAAAACACTGTCGGGCATCATCAAACCTTTTCAGGGTCATGAGCGACTCACCAAGGCGCAAGTACAATGCTAGCTCGCAGGGTGACTCCTTCTGCATCAAGTTCAGGACCTGGAATGTTCATTCACAATAACAGACAGGATAACAATTTCAAGGGTAAATTAATTACAAAAATAAAGATTCAACCGGAGTTACCAGACTAATTATAATCTATGTTTAAATAGCAATACGTTTTTGAAAAGCTGCTATCCTCAGTTGGCAAGGCACGCAAGTGGCATTCAGGAGGTCTCGGGTTGAATCCCCATTGACCTCATGTACCTTTCTAGGCAAGCTTGGCGCCTGCCACCTAGAGATAGGCCGCTGGTCCCCCCGAGTGGCATTGATCAGAGACTGCTGATATTCTTAGGGGGAGGGGACTGGAGGTGAGGCACAGTGACTGGCCGTCAAAGAAGCTCTGTCCTGATGCTACCGGCTGACCCTCGCCGGTATCGCCCACCTGCAAGTTGGACACAGCCACTGCATGTTCGCCCGTTGGAGGCTTGAACTCGGGCTGGCTGCTATGGGGTTCCCCGTAATACTAAAATGATAAAAAAACGGCATGAAAGCATTGAAAGGCCATCCTGTTAAGATTTGACAGGTAATTGAATTTGTTGGGCTTAAAACAATTGTAATAAACTCTGTTCAGATGAGGGCAAGGGTCGTCACTTTTGGTCAAAGGCAAGAAACAGGGGTCAAAAGTCACGTCCCAAGTCTGAGAAATGTCTGAGAAAGTGCCTAGAGCCAAGGGGTACCAGGGTCTGAGTCAAAAGCTGTGCCTAGTACCCCAACGTGAGACAGTTGACTCTTGGAAAACTAAGAGTCGACTCCAGCACGGGATTCCAGGCCCAGAGTCAAAGTCAACCCGCTGGTCAGCCACAGCCGCCGATCAGATGCACATCATTGGTTGTCTGCAGGTATCCAGAAGATTCCAGTCCAAATGGGGCACAAGGGAAATCAGGAACTGCGCTACATCCAGGCCATTGGCTTTCAATTCATCTGGGACGTCTACCCAAGGAGACTGGAGGTTGGTCAACGCGAGTCAACCCTATAAAGAGTTCACCAGACCCCGTGGAGAACATTCTGCCTTGCGCTGGCTTGATGCTAGTGTTGTGACGCGTGGCTGCTGGAGCTGTATGCTGGCGCCAGATGCTGGGAGGGGGCGCCAGCCTTGAGGGAGATCTTTTAGACGCGGCCATAGCTGCGTAGATGTAGATGCAGTAGAGATTATTGGTGAGGAGGAGGAGGATCAGGGCTGTGAGACTGAATGTGGGGAAGCTTACCTGGGCTTACCTGGCGACGACATGTGTGATCTTCTGCTGTCTCCACGAAGGTGAGGAAGTGCTGCGCCATCCTCCATATTGATTGCTGACGTAGATGGAGGATGAGCGCCCAGTTCTGATCTGCACAGCGGTTACTTCAGAAGACGTGAGAGGGAACATGCAATGCTGAGGTGGCGTTGGGGGAGAAGCCCAAAGTAGGAGTGGGAGAGGGGAAGACATACATGAACTATTGATGATCATCGAGACTCTCCTCCTCCTCTTCTCTGTCTCATATCTCCGCTTATTCTTCTCTTATGCTCTTCTTTGACAGGATAATACTCTTGAAATGTGCATTTGATCGAGACTTGGACATGTAATTGATGATTGGAGACTTCATGAGCCATGCTGGGTTCAGATGTCCATTGCATTGCTGATTGGCTTTCCGATGAGACTGGGTTCAGTACATTTTGGTATCGGAGCAATCCTCTTACCTTGCGTGCTGCTAATTAGTGACATCGACCGAGGTGATTGTGAGGATGGCCATGATGACGATGATGATGATGATGTGATGGTTGCTTGCCTTGGAGGAGAAGAGTGGTATTGTCGTTACTATTATTAGCTTCATACTTCATCAGTGGGCAGAGTCATCTAGTGCCACGTGGCAGGGAATGCTGACGTGGCACTACAGAGGGAGACTGGCAAGATATGAAGGTGTGCTGACGTGGCAAGAGAGGGGAAATGTGGCACTTACCGTCGCTTACCAGGTGAAGACTAGTACGGCAGCCGCTCGTTGAGGTGGTAGACACCTTGCTGACGTGGTCTACACTTGATGGTGACTTGGAGACAGGCTTGCTGATGCAGCAGGCACTATTGTGCCATCGTATACATCTCCTGCTGATGCATTCTTTACTGACGTGGCATGCTGCCTTATTGAGGTGGCAGTGCACGTTGGTGCTGATGTGGCACCTCCAGAAGGGCAGCGAGGTACCTCCAGTGACGTGGCACCTTCTAAGAGAGAGAGGAGCAGATACGGTTCCAGGCGGTATTCCAGTGCTGACATGGCATAGGCATTACTCCATTTCTGGTGTGGCCCTTGCAGGGCCCATTGATGTGCTCATGTGGCACATGTCTGCTGACGTGGCACACTTGGTATCACCAAGCTGATGTGCAAACCGCTTACAAGTGGAAGATACTTTGCACGTGTGGAACCAGGCAGGTGGTACAGCACCAGATAATGCTGCAGTGCCACGCGCTGGGACACGTGTCTGGTCACACAACCATCTGCAAGTGGGCAGCGAAGAATAAACAGCTAACTATTGTTTGGATGCTGTTGTGTTGCTAATTGCATACTTACCTTTCGTGGGCTGTCTTGTGGATGATTGCGGGCTAACTATTGTTGTGTTGTCTTGATCACACTGGCCGTGGCTTAGGAAAAGGCACAATCTCTCAAATTAGAATATCAGCGGTCATGAGGGCTGACCAAGCCATGTGATGGCAAGCGCCCGCATCGACGGTTAGCGCAACCAAGCGTTGTTACCCACGCCCGCGCCCACACCCGCGCCCGCGCCCGCACCCGCGCCTGTGTCTGCGCGCGCGACATACCATATCCGGGCACGCATCCACGCGCGCGCCTTCAACAATCGAATTCCCCGGCCCATAGTAGGGCTTTGCCAGATGGCTTCAGTCTCCATGGCAGCCTAACACGGTCATATGAGGAGCAGTCCTCCTTGTGAGGAACGGGCTGAATCAAGACGATCGTCGCCAAGTTCTCCTTTTTTGAAGCTGTTTCTCATAGCCCAAGTACAAGGAAGAAGGAGCGTTCTCAGCGTAAAGAGGAGCGATTGATCAAGATCCCCACTTCCGAAGTACAGAGCAAGGGCTATGGCAATTGCAGTGAGACTTTCGCCTTCCTAACTTCATTTCCTCTCCCCTTTACTAACAATCATCCTACTTGTCTTCACCGTCAACCCAAACTCCTTCCTCACCACACCCCATCACACCCCCCTCTCCTACCTTCCTCCCCCTATTACCACCCCTCCGATCTCCACCCTCTATCGTGACTCCATCCCGATCTTGACCCCAGACCAATCCTGATCCCATCCCGACCCCGACCCCATCACGAGCATGAACCCGATCCCATTCCATCATTGTCCCCAACCCGTACCCTATCCCATCCCGACCTCGTTCCCAATCTGTACCCAATTCCACCCCGCCTTCGTTCCCAATCCATACCCTATCCAGATCCTGTCACGATCACGACCCCGATCCCATCCCGTTGTCGTTCCCAATCCATACCCAATCCCGATCCCGTCACGTCCACGATCCCAACCCCTTCCCGACCTCGTCCCCAACCAGTACCCGACCCCATCCCGATCCCACCCCAACCCCGACCCTGCCCTGGTCCCGACCTCATTGCGAGCTCGATCCCATCCCGTCCCCCGACCCCACTCCAACCTATTTTCGACTCCGATCCCGATCCTGTCCCTAAGCCGGCCCCAACCCGATCCCGTTTTCTGACTTCACCCCGATTCTATACTGACCCCAATCCCTATTCTATCCCACCCCCGACTCAACTCCACCTGAACCCCGATTAGATCCCATCCCGCTCCCGACTTGACCCTATCCCTTTCCAGAACCACCCCGCTCTGCCCTGCGTTCCCGCCTCAACCGACTTCAGTCCGCTTCTCCCCCAGCCCATCATATCTCCTCCTCGCCACATCTCATACCCCCCTCTCCTACCTTCCTCCCCCTATTCCCACCCCTCCAATCTCCACCCTCTGTCGTGACTCCATCCCGATCTTGAACCCAGACCAATCCAGATCCCATCCTGACCCCGACCCCATCACGAGCACGAACCCGATCCCATTCCGTCATTGCCCCCAACCCGTACCCTATCCCATCCTGACCTCGTTCTCAATCTGTACCCAATTCCACCCTGCCTTCATTCCCAATCCATACCCTATCCAGATCCCGTCACGATCACGACCCCGATCCCATCCCGTTGTCGTTCCCAATCCATACCCAATCCCGATCTCGTCACGTCCACGATCCCAACCCCTTCCCGACCTCATCCCCAACCAGTACCCGACCCCATCCCGATCCCACCCCAACCCCAATCCTACCCCGGTCCCGACCTCATCCCGAGCTCGATCCCATCCCGACCCCCGACCCCACTCCAACCTATTTCCGACTCCGATCCCGATCCTGTCCATAACCCGGCCCCAACCTGATCCCGTTTTCTGACTTCACCCCTATTCTATCCTGACCCCAATCCCTATTCTATCCCGCCCCCGACTTGACTCCACCTGAACCCCGATTAGATCCCATCCCGCTTCCCAGAACCACCCCGCTCTGCCCTGCGTCCCCGCCTCAACTGACTTCAGTCCGCTTCTCCCCCAGCCCATCAAATCTCCTCGTCACCACATCTCACACCCCCCTTTCTCCTTCTACTCTCCCCCTATAATCATACTACCGATCTCCCCCTACCATTTCGAGCATATCCCGAATTTGATCTCAACCCAATCTCGATCCCATCCTGACCCCGACCCCACCACGATCCCGTTCCCTTTCCCATTCCGATCTTTTATCCCAATTCCTTCTCGACCCCACCCCAGTCCCACCCCGATCCTATTCCCGTCCCGATCTCGATCTCACCCCAGCTCAATCATGTCCCAACTCCGACTTGATCCTATCCCACTCTCGACTTGACACTATCCGGATCCACCCAACTCCGCCTCGCGTCCCCGTCTCAACCGAGTTCAGTCCGCTTCTCCCCTCCTCCTCACCTCATATCATCCCCCCCTCCTTCCTTCT